CTGACATCCATTTTGACCTTTTCCTTCTTTCTTGTCTTCTCAATGACTTTTTGCTTTCTTCATGTATGATGTTCTTGATGTCATCCCACAACTCTCCTGGTCTTTGGTCTTTAGAGTTTAATGTATCAAATCTGTTCTTCAGATGATCTCTAAATTCAGGTGGAATATATTCAAGGTCATATTTTGGCTCTTGTGGACTTGTTTTTATTTTCTTCAGCTTCAGTTTGAATTTGCATATGAATAACTGATGGTCTGTTCCACAGTCTGCCCGTGGCCTTGTTTTCACTGATGATATGGAGCTTTTCCATCTTCTCTTTCTGCAGATATAGTGAATTTGATTTCTATGTTTTCCATCTGGCGAGGTCCATGTTTCTGTTATGCTATCTAAAGATGGTATTTGAAATAAGCAAATCATTGGTTTTGCAGTATTCTGTCATGCGTTCTCCAGCTACATTTCTATCACCAAGGCCATATTTTCCAACTACTGATCCTTCCTCTTTGCTCCTTTGCACTCCAATCATCAGTAATGAGCAATACATCTTGATTGCATGTTTGATCCATTGCAGATTGAAGAAGTTGGTAGAATTCTTCTATTTCATCTTCACTGGCTTTAGTGGTTCGCGTGTAAATTTGAATAATAGTGGTATTAACTGGGCTTCCCTGTAGGCGCATGGTTATTATCCTATCACAGACAGCATTGTGCCTCATGACTTATCTGGACATGTTCTTTTTGACGATGAATGCAACACCATCCCTCTTCAATTAGTCATTCTTGGCATAGTAAACCATGTGATTGTCAGATTGTCGTACTGTGGTGGCTTGTGAGTTTCTGCGATTCTGGAAGCTATGCCACCAGTATTTTAAATACCAGCAGGGTCACCCATGGTAGACAGGTAGACATGGCCAATACCAGTTTATTTCAGCTTACTAATGCCTAAAATATTTATGTTTATGCATTCCATTTCATTTTTGACAACTTTCAGTTTTCTCAGATTCATACTTCATACATTGCATGTTTCAATTTTCAGTGGATGCTTACAGCTGTTTCTCTTCATTTGAAGTTGTACCCCCATCAGGAAATGAAGATCCTGTGGGCTTTTCTCCCATGACCTGTACTCCATTAGTGTTATCAAGGTCAACTCTACTTTGAGGAAGCTCTTCCCCAGCTGCATTTTGAGTGCCTTCCAACCTGAGGGGTTTATTTTCCTGCACTATATCTGACAGTTTTTTTTTCTGCTATTCACAAGGTTTTCAGTGACTAAAGATTCAGAAGTAGTTCGTCATTCTTTCTTCCTAATCTGTCTTTGTCTAGAAGCTCAAGTGAAACCTGTCCACCATGGGTGACCCTGCTGGTATTTAAAATACTGGTGGCATAGCTTCCAGAATCGCAGGAACTCACAAGCCACCACAGTACAACAAACTGGACAGATGAATGGTGGCCTGGTAGTACCTATCAGGACTACAGGAACGTGAAAGACACAACTTTTATGAAATAAAATCAGTAAAATTTAAATTACTCTTTAGAAAAAAAATTGGCAAAAATGATAAAAAGAATGATGGATTTTTGTTAAGTTTGCCTTTAGAAACCAAGGTTCTCTGATAACAATGTGTTTGTGTTGAGCTGTAAAATATTCCCACTGTGATCAAGTAGATTGTGACTCGAGCAGATGCCATGTATGCAGAGCTCAGCTGTGCTCCATTGGGGTTTCAGGGTTACAATCTCTCAAAAGTATGTCTCTAGGTTTTTCCTTTCCTGAGCCTCTGGGTGGAATTGAAACTTTAGTTAGCAGTAGGGCTAAATTATGTCATCTCTGTCACTCAGAAACACCAGGCTATATAATTTAATAATATTGAAAGAAATGGTTTAAAATCAGGAAAACTGTGGTCCAGGGTAGGATTCTTTCACTCTACTTATTCAATCTGTTTACTGAGCAAATAATCAAAGAGGATGAATTACATGAAGAACATGACATCAGTTGGAGGAAGACTCATTAACAACCTGCGATATTCATACGATACTACCTTGCTTGCTGAAAATGAAGAGGACTTAAGCCTTCAGTATGGGTTATACATTAATGTAAAGAAAACAAAATCCTCATCACTGGACCAGAAAATAGCATTATGATAAATGGAAAAAAGAAGTTATCAAAGACTTCATTTTGCTTGACTCCACCATCAACAATCATACACTCATGGAAGCAGCAGACAAGAGATCAAATGATGTACTGCACGAGGAAAATCCACTTCCTAAGACCTGTTTAATGTGTTCAAGAGCAAAGATGTCAGTTTGAGAACTACAGAGTACCTGACCCATGTCATGGTATTTTTAATAGACTCATATGCATGTGAAAATTGGTGAACAAATAAAGGAGATCCTAGAAGAATTGGTGCATTTGATTTATGGTGTTGGATAAGAGTGAATAAGGTACCACATGTTTACATTCATGTTTGTGTTTACATTCATGTTTGTGTTTACATTCATATATGCGTTCATACTTACATATGTTTACATTCACATACATGTTCTCATTCAAAAGTATGTCCACATTCACATATATGTTTACATTCATATATATGTTTACAGTCACATACATTTACATTCACATGCATGCTTGTATTAATAAGTATGTTTACATTCACATATACTTTACATCTACATATATGTGTATATGCATGTGTGTTCACATTCACATGCATGTTTACAGTCATAGGTATGTTTGCATTCATACAAGTGCAACTTACACATGTGCTTACATTCATATGCATGTTTGTGTCCACATGTATGTTTACATGTTTATATTCATATGCATGTTTGCATTCATATATATGTTTACAATCATAACTATGTTTACATTCACATATAAGTTTACATTCATGTATATGTTTACATTCATATATAAGTTTACATATATATTGCAAAAACATGAGCCACCAAACATTCCTCTGACAACACTCTCTACTCCTTAGCTGGACTTGAGAATCCAATGCAATGGCTTCCCAGAACCCTAACATCATTATCAGGTATGGGGTTTACTAGGGAAGTTAACAGGCTATAACATAGGATCAGAGAATGGTCTAGGCATAGTTGTTCCAGGTAGCTGCTGATCAGTGCCCACTGGACACACCACTCTACCATAAGCATCAGCCTGAAGACACTCACCTCTAGCTCCTTGGATCAGCAAACTTTGCTCCCACACCGTAAGTGCCTGGAGCCATCACTCTACAAACAAACACTGTTTCCCAAGTCACTTAGCACTATTTGCTCTGTGGATTGAGAAGTCCACTGCTCTGTTTCATGCCCTGGTTCTTGGTTCTTCTGCTCCTGCTCCTCTGCCTCTCCGCTTTCACAGCTTTCTATCCCTGAGTCAATGAGTTTCAACACACAGGGACCTTGGGCCCAAGGACATTCCAGTCCTAGTTATTTTTCTTTGATGGCAGAGAGAATCTTCTGCCTGCTTCTGAGATGGCTCATTTAAAAACCATGCTAGAGTTTCACAGTTTTATAATGACAATGATGTCTGCTAACATAGCTGAATCATATCATCCTATTCTTATTAATATTTTCTCCCACCTTCTATCACCCAGGGAAGAAATGTTGTTGGGTGGGAGTTACGGACTATGGCTAGCAGAAACATTAGATGAGTCATGACATCTATACATGTTTATATATATGTGTGTGCGTGTTTGTGCGTGTGTGTGTGTTGAGAGGTTGAGACTGAGAGATAGAAAGAGTGCAGGATGAAACACAAGCTGCTCCATGGTAGAAAGATGTAGGAGTCTGCTTCTGCAAAGCTTACAGCCTTGGCAACCTTGAAGTGTGTAGTATAGGGTTGCTGTGAGCACAATCCACTTGTTGACACATAACTATAACTGATGTATCACTGTAGGATAAGCACTGGACTGTGAACCACAAGTTCCATGGTTCAAATCCACCTGCTGCTATTCCGAAACCCTATACAGGTTTGCTATGAGTCAGCATCAATTCAACGGCAGTTAACAACAACAAATATGTACATATGTGTGCGCCAAAAATTTAGTGGAAAAATGGGATTAGAAGATAATGAAATTTTCCACCCTCATGTATATCTGGCTATCTAGTTATTGTTGTTAAGTGCTGCCGAGTCTGTTCTCACTCATATAGACCCTGTGTACAATGAAATGAAACCATCCCTGGTCCTGTGACTTTCTTACATTGTTGTTCTATTTGAACCTATTGTTGCAGCCACAGTGTCTGTCCATTTTGTTAAGAATCTTCTTTTTTAATTGATCCAGTACTTAATCAAGCATGATGTTCCCTTCCAGGGACTCGTCTCGCGTCTCCTGATAACATGTTCCTAGGAGTGGTGGTGGTGGTGGTGTGCTGTGGAGTCACTTCCGACTCATAATGACCCTGTATATGCTTTCCAAGGCTGTAAATCTTTATGGGAGCAGAAGGCCTCACGTTTTTCTCCTGGCACAACTAGTAAATTTGAACTACTGGCTTTTTGCTTAGCAGCCCTACTCGTAATCCACTATGCTTCCAAGGTTCCTTGTCCCTAGTAGAACACTGTACTAAAAAGTAAACTTTGCTACACCTCAACATTTGCCATCCTCACAAATCTTGCTATTTTTCTTTAATATCTTCCATTTTTCACCATTCTCTACGACATTAGGCATTCAGGTATCTGAAATATGCTGGAGACCAAAAATTATCATAACCAAAAATTATCAAAACTTCATATCTTTTTCTTCTTCTGTTGTCACCATTTTGGTTAAGTCTATCATCGTCTGTCACCTCTCTAAAATGTGCTAATTGGTTTGACTGATGTAAATTTTCTATTTTTCAATATATCCTTATCATGCCTGTTGTTGTTAGGGGCCATTGAGTTGGTTCCAACTCATAGTGATTTGATGCACAACAGAACGAAACACTGTCTGGTCCTGCACCAGCCTCATAATTATAATGTGTGAGCCCATTCTATTGCCATTGTTGTCAACCCATCTCATTGGGGGTCTTCTTCTTCACTGACCCTCCACATTTCCAATCATGAAGTCCTTCTCCAGGGACTGTTCCCCACTAACAATTTGTCCAAAATATAAAATACAAAGTCTCACTATCCTCACTTCTAAGGAACGCTCTGTCTGTATTTTTCTAACACAGATCTGTTTGTTCTCTGGCAGTCCATGGTATAGTCAATATTCTTCTCCAACACCATAGTTCAAAGGCATCAGTTCTTATACAGCCTTCCTTATTCATTGTCCAACTTTCATATTTCACATTACACCTATTGTTGTTTAGTACCATTGAGTTGATTTCGACTCATAGGAACCTGTACAGGGTTTCTGAGGAGCAACTGGTGGATTTAGACCATTGACTTTGTAGTGCAAACTGACATGGTGGTGCAGTGTTTATCCTATTAGCGTCATACCAGGACTCATAGTCAACCTGTTCTGTTGTCATAGTAATATATATTACATATCCATTAATGATAGATATGTTAATATTTACTTTAAAATCTGTTACAAGTTGGACAATGTGACAGATACTGTTAGAGAAAGATTTCATAAACTGGGTTAGAAACTGAAATGATGTGGTATAAAGTAAAGTGGCAGAAAATATTAAAGAAAATTAAAGGAACTAGGTGATGTATTGTTAAGTGCCTTGGAGTCATTTCTGACTCACAGAGACCCTGTATAGAGTTTCTAGTGAGCAGCTGGTGAATTTGAACCACCAACCTTGCTGTTTAAATGGACCTCGCAGTACAGTGCATTATCCACCAGCGCCACACCAGGACCAGGTGATGTATTAATTATGTCTTTAATGCATGTCCTTTCAGCATAGTGTGACTTAAGGAGGAGGGAAAAGTCATTTGCTTTCTAGGAAGCAACCATTTCTTTGATGACTTATTTCTCAGCATTGATAATAGAAGCCAGGAGCCATTAAAATGTCATTTTACTTGTGTGGCATCCGGGATTATGCACTGGACTGCAAGTTCAGTTTGAATCACAAGGTTGGTGGTTCAAATTCACTAGCTGATCCTGGGAATAATCATACAGGGTCGCTATGAGTAGAAACCAACTTGACAGCACTTAACAACAACAACAATAAGAAAATTACTGCCACTTTAGAACACTGTATATAGTGAAAATATCTTCCAGGAACAAGAGAGAATTAAAATAAGTTTCTGCCAAAACAAAAGAATACAGAAAGCAAACCACTGGCAACCTTTCAAATCTTCAATAAAAGAAATTCTAAAATTTTTAATGCAAGGCAGAAACAAAGTTTTCCTAGGTGGAATAGCTACTATGTATATATTTATTGAGATGAAAGTAATTATATATGAATATCTAACTGAATGTTGAATATATAAAGAAAAATGAATAAGGTCATACAGTGTTTTAAATAGAAAATTAAAGACAATGACAATACATTTGGAGACATTATTAAGAACAATGCATTGCTCAGAAGGAGTATAATGTATGTATTTCAGCTGACAAGTATAAGAATTCATGGTGTAAAGTATTGTATGTTGTTGTTTTCAGGTGCCGTCAAGTTGGCTCTCACTCAATGACTTTATGCACAACAGAACGAAACACTGCCGGATCGTGTGCCATTGCTGCCAAGACATGTCGTTTGGGTGTCTTCTTTGTCACTGAACCTTCATGTTAAAAAGCTTGATGTCTTTCTCCAGGAACTGGTCCCTCCTGATAATGTGTCTGAAGTATGAGAAACAATGTCTGGCCACCGTGGCTTCTAAGGAAGACTGCAGCAGCACTATTTCCAATAGTGATTTGTCTGTTCTTCTAGCAGTTCATGGTACTTTTCTTTCTAACAGGGCTTGACAAACAGAGACTATGACTAGTGCAAAGTGAGATGTTAAAGACTGATTACAGAAAAGTAATCATAAAACAGACAAGAGAAGAGAAAAAAAGAAAACCAAAGAGATAAGCAAATACAATGTACACGTTAAAGGTGTAGATAACATGCAAATACATATATTCAGCAATTACATCATGGAAATGTCTATGTTTTCACAAGATGCCAACATGATATATATGTTTATATATATGTATATGTGTAGTTGTTGTTATTAAGTGCCATTGAATTGAATTTGACTCATAGCAATCCTGTATTGGGATTCTGAGGAGCAGTTGGTGGATTTGAACCAGCCTGGGCTGTAGTTAACAGCCCAATGAATATCATACAGCTATATACAAGCAATAAACAATGAAAAAGACACATTTATTTTCATGATCACTTAGGATATTTACAAATATTGACACTACACTAGACCATAAAGCAAGCTGTAATGAGTTTAAATTATTAAAATCATGCACATTATGTTTTCTAAATACTCAAACTATAAAGAACAAAATCATACAACAAATCAATAGCAAAAAGAATTAGACATCCTCCATGGAGTTGAGAAGTAATAAACACACTTTAAACTAACCCCCAGTGACAGAAGGATATATGATAGGAATTAGGAAACAGTATTTATTGATAATTCTTGTCAATACGTATGGTATGCTCCCTTAGCATTACTTAGATGGGATCTTAGGGCCTGAGATGTGCACTTTCATAAAGAAGAAAGTGTAACAGTGTTGGAATTAAGAATCACTTCAAAAATTTAAGAAAAATATAAAACCACAGAAATCCAGATAAAAATCAAATAAAAAGAGTTCAAATTAATAAGAATAGATAGAACATAAACTTGATAAGATTGGTCAATCTTTAGATAGATTGATTAGAAAAATTGATAGTGATCAGGAGGGAGAGAGAGAGAAGGAAGCCAGGGATGAGGTTGGAGTGGATACCAACTGAGTAGAATTGGACATTGGATTTCCCAGGCTGTGATATTTACCAGCATGCAGCTTCTGATGG